TGATGTACTTATCCATGGGTCAGGTCAAATGAGGTCAACTGAGGTCAAATGACGTTTTTGCCAATAACTTGGCACATAATGACGCTAGAGCTTAAAAAATGGTATCATTGTGTTCCTGGTGATCAGCCGAATCGAATGATATGCGATATGATGCAATTTGGTTAACTTGAACTTATTTTATTAATTTAGGTTTACTTGAAATTTAAGAAAACTTTAAGTACACTTAAGCAAGCTAAAAAGTATGTCATTCGACGCGCCTTGACGTGCTGAGTTTACTGGTGCTTTTCTTTTTGCTCTGTCTTAATAAGATCAAAAGTTATAAGCGAAAAACTTTTGACCTGTTTTTAGCGAAATTTTTACATTTATACCCCCCCAAAACCCCCCTAAATATTAACCTAGAGCAACCAAATTTTCACAGGAGCGAGAACTCCATGGGGCCCACCTACCTACCAAATTTGGTGTTTCTAGGTGCCATAGGAGCCAATCGCGAGGGGGGTCGCATCGACCCCCCCTGCCAGGCCGTGTTATGAAAAATGCCCTGCCAGGGCGAGGGTTAACCCGCGACCACCTGGGGGGGGGGGGTCGGATCCGACCCCCCCCCCCTCCGTTTTTCTTGAATAACTCATGAACCACTTTCGCTATCTACTTGAAACTTGGCATACCTTCTCCCCCATCAATTTGACGTCTCCTGGTCAATTTTTAGAAAAAAAAAATCCAATTTTTTTTAGATATATCGATTTTAGTGATGTAACTACATGGCGTTTTTAGTCAAAAAGTGGTAAATGTTTAAAAAATCGGCAAAAATCAGGGTTTAAAGCAAATTGCAAATTAAGGACATGAAAAGACGCAGCTCAACAAGTTCTTTAAAATGGCTATCTCAGATTTTCCATAAAATGCGTTTTTCACCCCTAAAAATTCAAAAAAACTATATTTTTTTGAAAACAGCAAATAAAATTTAAATTTTTGGGAATTTCCCAAAAAAAAAACGGAGTATATGTTGTAGAGCTCTATTAGAACATTAGATGCCCCAAATTTCAACTTTCTATCTTGATTTTTGACCCCCAAATTGTAAAAAATAGCTCCAACATATATAGGGCATGGTGACGTCATAAGCATTTTCGTGAACTAGAGGTACTTCTGAACATCGCATGTGAAAACAAATGGCACCACTAGATTACTGGGACAAAGCTCGTCTAGAAAAGTGCATTTTTATGTCAAAAATAAAAAGCTGAAAAATTGACCTTTTTTCTCAGCCCTCGTTTAGTTATGTATGGTATAAACGATTTTTTATGCTTTCAATGCACACTTATCACCAGCACAGTGACTTGGGGTCACATATAACCATTACCATCGAATTCGGCGTGAAAAATAAGCCATAAAACATGTGTGGCACGCCCATGTAGCAGAAATTGAAAACCGTGACCTTTCGTGACCTGACCTGACCTTGACCCGTACTTAGTATGACCCCTATACACACATGGTACCTTCACTAGGCCTTTGAGGTCATTTTTGGTGAGTTTCGAGCAGCAGCTATCGATTCCGCTGTCCGTAAGCCTAATCATGCAAAACTCCTGAATTTGGCCTTTGACCTGACCTTGACCCGAAAGTTGACCTCAATCTTAAAATCTTAAGAGTGCTTTGGGAAGGTCTCGTAGAGACCTTTCGAACGCCGCCTCGCGGGGCTCGATACGACCATTGGTTCTCGAGATAACAGGGGGGGGGGTCGGATCCGACCCCCCCCCCAGGCTGTCGTGGGTACGGAAATAGCCCAGGCGGTGCCGGGTTAATAGGACCATCGTGTTCCTGAGCTCAAACTGCATCCAATAGACACCTTTTTTGTTGAAAAATGTAAACTTCAAAATTTGACCTTTTTGACCTGAAAGTGACCTGACCTAAGCTAAGTATGATTAAAAATGACCTCGAATGACACAGGCGACATCAAATTCGAAATCTATGGCCTAAATGGACCATAAAACATGTGTCACGTGACCGACCCCTTATATAATATTTCCGTGACCTGTGATGACCTGACCCTGACCTCAAATCAAAAATCAAAAATGACCCTGACCTCAAAAATCAAAGTGCAAGTTTGGTACCCTCAAGGTATCTAGAGCATCTGTTCGCGAGTGTGTAAACCAAAAATGAGCCTGATCTGATTTGTAAGACGGCGGCCAGAGCCCAAAATGTGAACAAGCCGAAATGCTAATAATTTTTAATTTGACCTGACCTGTGACGTCTTCGGTGACCTCGAGGTCAATGAAATTAGGTTTCGTTCGACAGTTTTTTCCGGGGCTATCAGACTCCGTTTGAGTTTTGACGATCGGCCCAGTAGTTTCGGAGTTAGGAGAGGGGCTATGGAGAGCCCCCCCCAGTAGGGCGTGTTATACGCAGACCCCAGTGGGGCGCGGGTTAAAGGGACCCTCCCACCTTCAAAAAAAGTTAATGAATTGGCATGAAAGTGATGTCCCTTGGTTCAGAAAGAGCGAAAACGAATATCTACGAAATTTCACCGAAAAATATTCACTGGTTTTCAAGATATTAGGCTTTTACTTTTGTTTACTTTTTGGGATCTCCCCTGTTACTAGCGACTTTATTTGGAAGCAATAATTTGGCAGCCTTAAAGTGCGGCAGACGTTGCGCGCAAAGCAGCGTATACCACCACGTGTTAACGATGGTTTTAGTCTAAGATTTAAAAATCGTTAGATCTCCGCTGACGTCACAAATTCTAAGGGGGCTTTCCAATGCATTAGCCCCTTAGAATCCGAAAACTGCAAGTTTGAAATTCCATATCTTCGAATTAAAGCATTTTTCGATGTTGTGAGTGCCCAAACCGGTATTTGCAGGCCATGGCCACCAATTTGGCTATCTCAACTCAAAACTAATGTTAAGGTGGGAGTGTCCCTTTAAGTGCTACAACCACTAAATTTTGCTCAAACATTGCCTAGGTATTCATTTGAAGCTACCTTGAGTTTCACATTCGTAGTTTATCAGGTTTCGGAGATATTCCGCAAAACGTAAAGGGGGGGCACCTTTATGCCCCCCCCACAGCGCCTCGTGGGTTAAACATGCATAAGGGCTACAGTCTGACCGTCGAGGCCCTCGAGGTTGCCTCTGATGGCCCAAAGCCAGCCTCCGAGGGCCCAGCGCCAACCTTAGACTTCAGAGGACAGAGGGCCCCACGTTAACCTAAGAGGGCCTACATTGTCCTTAGATAGCCCCACGCTGAGCTGTTCCCAGTGGGCCCCAATCTGGCTTAGAAGACCCCACGCCGCTGGTCTTAGAGGAACCCACGCTGCCCTTATATTGCCCCACGCTGGTCTAAAAGGGCTACGCACTGGCTTCTTTGGGCCCCACGTCCACATTTGGCTATTTAAGGTCCCAAAGCGGACTCTAAATGACCATGCTAGCCTCCGACGGCTCGACTTCGGCTTCTGAGGGCCCTACGCTGGCCTCCAAGCCTTTGATAGAAGTTTGTTTAGACATGTTTACGTATGCTTAACTGATTAGGCAGAATTTTGGTATACCGTTACCTACGGTATATGGTATGAATGTTAGGTATGGTGTAAAGGTCCGCTTATACGTTGCATATTAGGTGGTATATGACATTCTGATTACTGGAGTCTGGTTTGTCCCCCATCCCCCAGTCGAAATTCCTTAGCCGAGGTCCTGCTGTGTGACTGTGTCAGTCCTGCTGTGTGACTGTCTGTATCCTATACATCCGATCCATCCTATAAGTATACATCTGGTGTTTCTAAGTGCATCAGGAGCCAATCGCCAGGGGTCGTACAATCAGACCCTCCCCCTGCACCGTCCGCGTTATGAAAAAGGCCTGGCCATGGGGTAAACATTCGTAGTGATAAACTTGTCTTTATTATCTCGTTTTTTTTTTTGCGAAAAAGTAGTAACGATAGTAAATTTTGATATTGGTTACCTAAGACCTGTTTGCCTGCCTGCCAAGCTTGCCTGCCTGCTATGCAACAATGCGGGTTGCATGACAAAACATGTCGTAATACGTAATGACACGTCGTTTTGTGACATGATAAGACACTACGCTGCACGACATGTCGTAATGCGTACGACGTAACGCTACGTACTAAATCACCTTTAAATGATTAGTAGAAACGTAAAAAACTGTAATTCTGCATTCCAGATGGAGATGACAGATGTGCGTGAAGACCTGGCCGCCCTTCGCCGGGAGGTGGCCGCACTGAGCAAAGTGGTGGCTGCCCTTCGTGAAGAGATGTCCGCCCTTCGGGAAGTGGTGGTCCCCCTTCGTGAAAAGGTGACCATTCTGAGTGAGGTAGTGGCGAAGGACAATTCAGATATGAAGAAGCTAAAGGGGGAGTACGCCGCACTTCACGGTGCGATGGTCCGCCTGGAGCAGGCAGTTATCGAAGAGCGGACCACTCGCCAGACCGTGGTGGAGGATCTGCGGCAGGAGGTCCGCCGGCGAGCGGCGCCATCCGGCCGTCCCCAGGGGTGAGACTGGGAGGCAGCAGGGGTGGCTGTGGGGGCTGATAGATTTCGGAGAGCTGCCATGGTGAGAAGTAAACTTTCTTTGTAGAAGGTGTAAAAAAAATAAAACATAACTAGGTCATTGAAGGTCGAGTAACTTGTAATTGTAATTTCCGCCCAATCAAAGAAACATGCCTTGAATTCGTACCATCTTTTGCAAGTCAGCCGTTTAGTCTCGATCGTATTGTTCCAGTTTTCGACAGACGTCCTGCATAAAGTTGGCCAGTTCGGGGCATAATCCCGCACGTATTTACATGTTTTCATCAGCAATCGTGTCACAAAATCTAATCGGTCGTATCAAATCGTTCAGATTCGTATGAAATCAACTCTGATTTTTTATACAACCGAGTAGATTCGACGATACCATTACTGACGAAGATGATATGGAGATGTATATCGAAATATCAAATGAGCCGACAATAAATGCGGAATTGCAATGCCTGATCAGTGGATTTATAGACTTTTGTTCTTGTTTTCAGTAGAGCTAGAAAACAGGCGAATGACGTCACAGTACAGACGGAGCCCCAGCCATCGGCAGTCAGTGACGTTATAGTACAGACGGAGCCCCAGCCATCGGCAGTCAGTGACGTCACGGTACAGACGGAGCCCCAGCCACCGGCAGACAGTGATACCACAGTGCTGAGAGAGGCGCTAAGGACCGTGACGACGTTCGACGCTCCGTCAGCCCTTGGCGAGGATCAGCTGACGGCGCTTCTGCAGAGTCTTCCCCGCTTGGAGGAGCTGACCGTCAGGGTGCCGTCCTTCGGAACGGGGCGGTGGCTGCGGCTGCTGCCGACGTCACTGAGGACGCTATACGTTGCCGGTGAGAAGTATAGTTGAGGAAACACGTACTATTACTTCTGAATGGTGGTAGGTACTTACATGGTACATAAAGTAACAGTTTCAGTGATAAACGTTCAGCGGACATATGTATGCCATGCTACCTACATGCTACACAAACATTAGCCACTGTATTGTACATACCTTATACTCTTGCAAACGAACCTGTATGTACTGAACCTGTATGACCTGTATGTACTGAACTGTATTAATTAACCCTCGCCCGCACATGCCATTTTCCCATCCTAGAACGCACATGGGGGGGGGGGGGGTGGTTGCCACCCCCCGCGCAATTTCGTTCCTGTTGGAGATAGAGCTTAGCGATAAAGACCAAAAAGATTTCTTTGGGAAAAGACGAATCCAATGATACCCAGTTTTACCTTCCCAGGTCAGTCATTGACCTTCCAGGTCAGGTCAAACTAAAAAATGTTGCTGTTTTGGGTCACCGTTGGATATCAAGTGCGCTGCTTATCATATACCTACCGGTGACGTTGCCGTTTTCTGGTGCCAAGCCAGCTAGAACCTCTTTGTCACACTACCCGACCAGGTTTTTGCTGCTGAGGTCATTTCAGGTCAAGTTAGGTCAAGGTCAATGATATGTGTTTGTATGTCTGTGTGTGTCTGCGTGTATACTGATGTGTGCACCGATTGTTTATGTGTCCATATTACATGAAATCATGATCTGAGAAGCTTTTACCAAAAATGCAGTAAAAAAACTTCAAAAAAGTTAATTCAGCTTGCCTAAAACGCAATTACCTTATATGACCTAGGTTGACCTTGACCCTGACCTTGACATCTGTACATCGTCGAACAACATGTTCCATGATAGATGGGAGGTAAGACTGGCATAACAGGTCGAAATCAAGGTGTCAAAAGCTCACAAGGCCCATAGCCAACGCAAGATGTTGAGAATTGGCCATTTGGGTCATGACATGACCTGAAAAACAAGGTCATATCTCCGAAACCAAAAACCGCAGAAACTTGAAATTATCAGTGGACATCAAGAAAGGATAGAGGAGCAGCTATACGAAAAATCAGCCTTCTAGCTCTAAAAATGTTGAGTGCAGAGCAGAAAGACTACCTGGGGGGGTGGCAATCCCCCCCCCCATGTGCGGGCGAGGGTTAAAGGGACACTCCCACCTTAACATTAGTTTTGAGTTGAGATAGCCAAATTGGTGGCCATGGCCTGCAAATACCGGTTTGGGCACTCACAACATCGACAAATGCTTTAATTCGGAGATATGGAATTTCAAACTTGCAGTTTTCGGATTCTAAGGGGCTAGTGCATTGGTATGCCCCCTTAGAATTTGTGACGTCAGCGGAGATCTAACGATTTTTAAATCTTTTACTAAAACGTTTGGTAGCACGCGGTGGTATATGCTGCTTTGCGCGCAACAAATGCCGCACTTTCAAATAAAGTCGCTAGGAACAGCGGAGATCTCAAAAAGTAAACAAAAGTAAAAGTCTAATATCTTGAAAACCGGTGAATATTTTTCGATGAAATTTGGTAGATATTCGTTTTCGCTCTTTCTGAACCGAGCGACATCACTTTCGTGCCAATTCATTAACCTTTTTGAAGGTGGGAGGGTCCCTTTAACCCTCGCCGGCCGAGGGGGGGGGGGCGGGTGCCGCCCCCCCCATAGGGTTTTTTCGCGATAGCTCCGAACACGCTGGCGATAGAGAGCTGAAACTTGGCATACCTGACCTTTGATCCAAGCCGCATCTTTTGACACCAACCGCATTTTTGGGTCAGGTCAGGTCACTGACCTATGACGTCATAAGTGAACCTCTGCACGGTCTTCAGATGTCGCAACTTCGCAACGCCCTCACTGCCAGAGGAGATGTCACAGGGAAATGAAACTTGCAGGATCTAGTATCCATTGTGAGTCCCACAACTTGTATATCTCGGATTTTTCCTAAAGGTCATATGAGGTCAGGTCATTTTCGTGACCTCACCATTATAAGTCAATGGGGAAAAAATGAAAACTGCTATTCTGGCGCCGGGAACGATCTCCAACTATCTCAAGCACACAGAATCGTGATTTGATGCACTCCTTGCAAGGTTAGATGCGTCACTTTTGCAATGTTGACCTTGCGTGACGTCATTTATGACGTCATCAAGGTCAAATTAGTTTTTCGTCAATAACTCTTGATCAAATTGAGCTAGCGAGTCGCGGAAGGCACCAATGGACTCAGGAAGGCCTGCCGAATCGAATGATATGCGACATGACCTCTTTCGACCAACTTCGTGACCTGGGGGTGCTGACCTGACCTTGACCTGAGGTCAACACCCCAAGTTGACCTGACCCGGACAAAAAGTATATCATTCGACGCGCCTGAGCGAGGCGAACACGATGCTGCCAAAATCGGCGCTCTGCGGCCGTTTTTTGCGAAGTTATTCACCAAAAACTGAACCGTACCTTGGGGCACTTGACCTGACCTCAGAGGTCACCGGTTGACCTAGGACCTTAAAATCGGGTACCAATCTCTGCGTCTCGTAACGGCGCACACGCTCGTTTTTTCCGCGACGCGCTAGCTCCACCAGGGGCGAAACGGCGAGGGGGGGGGGTCGTACCCGCCCCCCCCCTCCTCGGCCGGCGCGTATGTAGAAAACCAATAGGTCCGGCGAGGGTTAACTGACGCATGTATAAGCGTAGCGCATGCATTGTGCACAATGTTCAATTACTGTCCAACAGTGCCGATCGACCCTGGCTTTGTCAGTGTCGTCTGTGTCAGGGTTTGACACCACAGTGTCAGCCGCCTCCCGACCCGGCAGCAGCTCCGTCCGACTGCTGTCAGCTGACACAGCTCTGTCCGACAGGGCCGGAGGTGACGAAGCCGAGGTGGCCGGGACGGTACGGGAGTGGTCTGTCGGTATCTCTCCAGGGGGTGGCTGCAGACACCATCAGTCACCTGGCCACGGAGCTGGGGTCACGGATTACCCTACTAGTCACGGATGGTGAGCAGCGATTCAAGTTACTCATATATGAATGGCTAGGACTAGGAGGGATAAACAACAGTAGCTGTTCCGGCGCTCAGCGTTCGCTGGCTGTGACGTCACGGCCACCCCGGCGGGCCGCGGCCCGGCTGACCTCCAGTGACCTTGAGACGCGCTGCCGGCCGCGTCAGCTGATTGTCGGCGGTGCGCGGCGACCCCAAACCCTGCCGGACTGGTCAGGTGCAGGTGGCGCTGCCGGGCGTTCCTGAACGGGGCAGGGGGCTATACGAAGACACGAAGAACAGGAAAACAGGCCGGCAATACCGTTCCTTACTTGCTATTTTTGCTCTAAGGTACTGTCTATTTTTTCTAGCAAATGTTCATAAATGATGTGGGGAAACAGTTTATCCCTGACACTGAAGCCTAATTCAAACCAAGAATAACTGGATACAACACATATTACATGTACTGTAGGTAATGCTGCCTCATCCTAAGGTAAGACGGAAGCCATAAGCCATGGTAAGCCGTAAGATGACAAGCGTGTGGTGAATGGTGCTGGTCAATGATTTGGTCCTGTATTGGTCGTAATATTTACGCTACGAAATTTATGACGATACAAAGTTGAAACAGGTACCTACACCTAAGAGCTGAACAAAATACCTATGTGAAAAGGTTTCAAAAGCTGTCAGATTGATCGATTGACATTATGAGAATATGCCTAGTTCGGATTATAATGTACTAATTTAATTGTTATTTTTGTTTTACCTATAGGTATGTCAAAGACCCATCATCATTTTATTCGTTGACTATTCTGTTACGGAAAGTCACCGTAATTTATGAAATCCACATCGTTTTGATAAAGTACATATTCATTGAGACACGGAATTATCATAGCATTGTAGCTACAAACAGTTTTCACTCTGTGTTTGCTATACCTGTAGCCTGTAGGTAAGTGTACACTTAAGTTTGAGCTAGACTAATGCCTGACATTGGTTCGATCACCTTTCCAGCACAAATGACTACTATCCCAAGTCAGCTTCGTGGTGCTATCATCAGGGTGGGCCCAAACACTATCATCCTTCCGGCCGGAGTCGGTGACAGCGAGCTGACGGAGCTGCGGAGCTCACGGGAGACTGTGAAGCGGCTGTCAGTTTCTGCCGCCGACCTCCCGCGACTGAGGGGGCAGCTGCCAGAGGGCCTCAGGTTCTTCAATGTCAGAGGTGAGGTACCCCGGATCACACATGTAATGCAGGTATATGCAAATGGTCAGCGAAAGGCAAATTGACGAACCGATCAGATTCGGTCAACGACACACAACGTTGCATGTGCATGATATTGGGGGATGGGTTGCAACTTGCAATGCTTACAGTTGTATGAAGTACATGCATGTTATACATAAGCATACAAAGTTATACCAATACATACGTGGTGTCTATATGTATGTAATAGGTATATAGTTAACAATCATATAGATGAGGGCTAATTTTACCTTGCAACTGCTTCAAGTAGTGTAATTCGTTAAACTGCCAATTTGATGTTACCCTTATACCTTTACTGTTTATAACGCATGTGCTGAGCTGACGCCTGAGGGAATGTCGCACTTATGTTGTTGATATTCGCACATTTGCATATGATAGGTGGTGCTAATATCGCTCTCAAGCCGCTCGGCTGTGTCAGTGCTGGCTGTGTCAGTGTCTGACATTCTGGTGTCAGTGGTGCAGCGGGGAGCTGGCGGCAGCTCTGTCCGACTGCAGTCAGCTGACACAGCTCTGTCCGACAGGGCCGGAGGTGACGGAGCCGAGGTGGCCGGTATGGGACGAGGATGATGATCTGTCAGTGTCGCTCCAGGGGGTGGCTGCCGACACCATCAGTCCCCTGGCTGACCTGGGACGGACGGTCACACGACTGGAGATATACGGTGAGCAGCGGTAGCACGGACAGGCCGATGATATACGAGCTCAGTGAGTGGCCGTCGCCCGTCACCGAGTAACGGTGTGGTGTTATGACTGGACGTGTAAATAGTAACATACGTGTAGAGATGCCGTTAGGTACTTACAACGTAAAACACTGTCCCATTATGATTTTTTTTTCGAAATAGTGGAGTTAGTGCACTTGATATAAATTCAGGCAGACATATTTATGAAACCCACGATATATATGAAGTCTCATACCACATACACATTATAATGCTGTTGCCGTTCGCGAGAAAACAGATTTCATTAGCTGAACGCATTGCATATTTTGGTCGTAAAAGCAGGATTGTGCCATTATATTGAGATCCGATGGAAGTCTGCAAAGTGCGAGGTGATTGTATTTTTCCATTTTATCATGCATCAGCCTTGGCGTCTGCTAGTCATCACCCCAGTCGGCTGATCCTGTCTGTATGTGTGTCTGTGTGTTTTCCAGATTGTACTGATCACACGGCCGGCAGCCTGGAGCCCCTCACCAGGTGCACTGGGCTGGAGCGCCTATCAGTCTCCGCCGCCGACCTCCCGCGACTGAGGGGACAGCTGCCGGAGGGCCTCAGGTGCCTCAATGTCAGAGGTGAGATAACGCAGATCACACGTGTAATGCCTCTTATGCAAATTTACAACGGAGACGGGAAATGGCCGAACCATTCAGCATCAACTAGCAGGTTTCATCGTTAATCGTGTCTATTATGCGTATTGTGGTGAGAGGGGGAAGGGGCTCATGCATGCCCTTCGATAGTGTTCATGCTTGTGGCATATGCGTGGAATATTAGTGTAACGTCACGGGGTGATTTAAAAGTTGAGGTACTAGGAATAGTTGCATTGTCACAAGCAGCAAATTTCCGAACAAACGTATTGAGTATTAATCGACGACTGACACTGACTGACTACATAGAGAGAGCTCGCTGACGACGAGTCTGAGCAGACTGACAGGACTGACTGGCCGCGGCCCTGGCGAGGCGGTTATACAGAGTATAGGTGGCGCCACGATCGAAGGCGGCCAGCAGGGAATGCATGGGCATTGCTACAATTAGTAAGCACTTTGATGTGTATGCGAGTAACCGTAGTTGCAGTTGATGTGTATGCGACTAACCGTAGTTGAGAGATGGCGGCGCCCTCTCTTGGGTTTTCAAGGAACTGGACGGACGGTCCGCGGAGCGTGTGGTCGTCGGCGCGGGGCCAAGACAATACAAGAACTTTGCGATGATTGTGATTCATTAAATGGCGACGAGGATGAGATTTGATTAAATTCGTTGTGAAACGCCGCTGGAAGTGGGCTTGAGCGTGAATTAGATGACGCAAGGCCTGGAGCACCAGTGAGCGGTGGCGCATTCGTCGACGCCGGAAGATAAGCCTGTAATTATGGCGTTTAACCAAGGTTTGCCGTCTGTGAAGCCGTTTGAGCGAGGTGGAGAGTTCGACAGGTGGGTCAATGGTTTGAACTGTTATTTTGGTGCCTGTCAAATCACGGGTTCCGAGCAAAAGAAGTGCACACTGCTACATCTGATGGGTCTGGATGTGCAGGACATTTTCCATGCTTTGCCCGAGGTCAGAGATGAGGAAAACCCAGGTCAAGATGTATATAAAGAAGCCTGTGCAAGGCTGCAGAAACATTTTAAGCCAAAAACAAACAAAGTGTATGAGAGGTACAGATTTCATGAAATGTGTCAAGTTCAGGGTGAGTCAATGGAAGAGTTCATCTGTCGTTTGAGGATTCAAGCAGGGAAGTGTGGATTTGAGCCAAGGGAGGTCGAAATGCACGTGTGTGACAGGGCAGTCAGTGGGTGTCACCACTTGGATCTGCGGCAGAAGCTCCTCAGCCAGCAGGACCTGTCTGTGGAGAGGATCATGGAAATGGCTTCTACATATGAACTGAGTCGCCAGCAGGCTCAGGCCATGGGTGTGACCACTGGTGGAGCATCGGTGAACTTCAGCCAGCGAAGAGGTCAGCACCAGCAGGCAGGGGGTCAGCACCAGCCTGCAGGAGGTCAGCACCAGCCGGCAGGGCACCGGGTGCCCCAAGGACAACAAGGGCAAAGGCAAGGTCAGTGCTACCGGTGCGGTTCTGTGCAGCACTATGCCAGGAACTGTCGGCTCAGCCGGAGTGTGAAGTGCCACAAATGTGGAAAGGAGGGTCACATTCGTAAGATGTGCCATACTAAAGTGGTGAACGCTGTGGCAGAGTCAGAGGTCCCATGTCATGGATCTCAGGGAGGTGGAAGTCAGGTACCACCAGGCTCCAGTGCAGCAGGGTCAGGAGAGGCTTATACCATGTACACCGTGAACCATGTGAGAGCCTCTGTGGATAAGCCAGTCGTGGCTGAACTGTCCCTGTGTGGTGAAACTGTGAACATGCAGGTGGACACGGGTGCTTCGTGTTCAGTGATGTCAGAGGGGAACTTTCAGAAGTTCTTGCGCAGTAAAGTGTCGTTGAATCAACAGGTGAAGCCAAAGCTGACAGGCTATGGCGGTCAGCCACTGCCAGTGATAGGGCAGGCTGAGGTACTTGTGTGCTATGGTGACCAGCAGTGTAAGCTTCCACTTGTCGTTGTGGAGGGGGACGTCAGCTGTCCTACCTTGTTGGGGAGGGACTGGTTGCATCAGCTGAAGCTGAACTGGCACCAACTCTTGAGCATCAATGGTTCAGAGGGAGCAGGGGTACTGAGTGAGGTGCTTGTGAGACATGGTAATGTGTTCAAGGAGGGGTTGGGGAAGTGTGACATGACTGCTCACCTGGATGTGGACCCCTCAGTTGCGCCTCAGTTCTACAAAGCCAGACCAGTGCCACTAGCCATTAGGGATAAAGTAGACCAGGAACTTGACAGGCAGATAGCTGCTGGAACTCTGGTTCCGGTGAGAACCTCAGACTGGGCAGCTCCACTGGTTTGTATTCTGAAGTCCAATGGTTCAGTGAGGCTGTGTGGGAGTTATGATCTCACATGTAACAAAGCAACTAAGGTAGAACAGTACCCACTGCCCAATGTGTCCGAACTGCTGACAAAGCTAGCAGGTGGTGATAAGTTCTCGATCATTGACTTGAAGGAGGCATACCTGCAGGTGCCTCTGGACGAGGCGAGTCAAAGGTACACAGTCGTCAACACACACAGGGGGCTGATGGCTGCAACGCGGCTGGTGTACGGCATCAGCAGCGCGCCCGCCATGTTTCAGAGGTTGATGGAGACTCTTCTGGCAGGGATTCCGCACACTGCGATTTTCCTTGATGACGTGTGTGTGTGACGGGGGCGACAGATGAGGAGCACGCTCGTAACGTAGATGAGGTGCTGAGACGTCTGGGGAGTGCTGGACTCCGGGTGAATCCGGAAAAGTGTCAGTGGATGCGGAAGGAGGTGACTTACCTGGGTCACAAGGTCACCAGTGCAGGCGTTCATACGTCTGAGGAGAAGGTGCGCGCAGTCGTTGACGCACCAGCTCCGCAGGATGTAGGCCAGCTGAAATCGTATTTGGGTATGCTGACCTACTACCACAGGTTCATGCCGAACTTGTCCACAGAAGCAGCCCCGCTGTACCGACTTCTGAAGGAGGGCGAGCAGTGGAACTGGACCACAGCTCAGGAGCAGGCCTTCCAGCGGACAAAGAGGATGCTGGCGGAAGCGCCAGTATTGGCTCACTATGACGTAAGTGCTCCGCTGGTGGTGTCAGCCGATGCTAGTCCGTACGGGATTGGGGCTGTGTTGTCGATCGTTCAGGATGGCCAGGAACGGCCAGTGGCTTATGCATCCCGCTCTCTGGCACCAGCCGAGCGGAACTACAGTCAGCTGGAAAAGGAGGCGTTGGCAGTGATTTTTGGGGTGAAGAAGTTTCACCAGTTCGTTTACGGCAGAGCGTTTGAGATCAAGACCGATCACAAGCCTCTGTTGGGTCTGTTGGGCAACAGTAAGCCACTGCCTGATGTCGTGTCCCCCAGGGTGATTCGTTGGCGCTTGACGCTGCAGGCGTATCAGTGCCGTCTGACGTATTCACCGGGTATCTGTCAGGCAAACAGTGATGCCTTGAGTCGACTTCCGTTGCCGGAGCAGGTGATTCCTGTAGTGCCCGGCGACACTGTGCTGTTGCTCGAGTCTGTGGATAAACTGGTGACTGTTTCACAGATTCGACAGGCCACAGCCAGGGATCCGGTGTTGATGTCGGTGCAACGCCGTGTGATTGAGGGATGGCCGGCTGAGTCTGACCGGATCTCTCCCGAGTTACAGCCGTATTTTCATCGCAGGAACGAGCTCAGCACAGAAGACGGAGTACTTCTGTGGGGAGGGAGAGTGGTAATCCCGGCTGTTCTCCGCAAAGAGCTGCTTGCTCTTCTGCATCAGGGTCATCCAGGCATGGTTGGCATGAAAAGCAAGGCGAGATCACAGGTATGGTGGCCGGGGATTGATAGGCAGATTGAGACCACTGTGAATGAGTGCTTGTCATGCCAGGAGAACCGTCCAAGGTCTGCGAAGGTACCCGAGTCGCCGTGGCGGTACCCGGACGCGCCTTGGGAACGTGTACATATTGATCACATGGAGTTCGAGGGTCGCCTGATTCTGGTAGTTGTAGATGCCCACTCAAAGTGGATTGACGCCTTCGTTACGTCGTCCACAGGCTCCCAGGCGACTATTGAGTGCTTGAGGAAATCGTTCTCCGATCATGGGGTGCCCAAGGTTTTGGTATCCGATAACGGAAGAGGTTTCTGTTCCGAGGAAATGGCGCTGTTCTGCTCCGCTAATGGCGTGAAGCAGGTGTTCGCGCCAGCCTGGCATCCGAGTTCTAACGGCCAGGCGGAGTCTGCGGTCAAGGTCGTGAAAGGGGGTCTGCGGAAGCAATCCAGTGGGTCGCTGCAGACGAGGTTGTGCAGGGTGCTGTTCCAGTACCGGACAACTCCCCACTCAACCACAGTTCGTACGCCAGCCGAGCTGCTAAACGGTAGGCCTATGATCACACACCTGCATCGCTTGCACCCAGACACTAGGGACCGAGTGTTACACCGTCAGGAGGCTCAGACGCGCGTTAATAATCAGGGGTCATGTGCCAGGAGCGTGTCTGTAGGTGATGAAGTCTTTGTACAGGATGTGACAGTCGGGCAGCGATGGACCGCCGGGGTGGTCACAGGTGTGTCCGGTCACATATGTGATGTGAAGTTGTGCGACGGGCGTGAGTACCGCAGACATGTAGATCATGTACGGCGGAGATTTGCGAGTGTAGGAGAATGTCCGACTCCGCCAAGTGTGACGCTGTCGCCGTCTGCGTCTTCGGATCCGTCCGATCTGCAGAATCGCGGTGTCGCGGAGGCGTCACGTTCCTCGGATGTGCCGCGCGCAACTGCCGATGTGCCGCGCGCCACTGCTGATGTGCCGTCGGCTGTGGTACCGACGGAGCCCCCGGTTGAGGTCGCTGTTCCGGCCAGCTCCCCAGCTCCTCAGCTACGCCGATCGAACCGCGTGTCTCGACCGCCGGAGCGGCTCGACCTATAGGGTCAGGTGTAGCGGTGTATGTATGTGTTAGTTAAGAACTGGGGGAGGAGTTGATGTGTATGCGAGTAACCGTAGTTGCAGTTGATGTGTATGCGACTAACCGTAG